AATTTCCTTCGGGTTGCGACCAATTCGGGGTGCGACCAGAGTCACGGAACAAATTAAGTTCGTAAACCGAGGTTCCACTGTACTAACTTGTTGGGAGGGCTTGGAGGAATCACTTCCATAAGGTTCCATACAGTACTGTTAGATCATCAACAGGGTACTTTTGTGGGTATCTCTCTGACTGCTTTTAACATCAACAACAATTTTAGTGAAGCAAGTCGCCTCCTTACTACAGCATAGGAAAAAACTTAAAGCATGCATATTTCTCCAGGCTTTTATGAGTTTTTGTTGCAATCTGTTTTCACTTGAATCATTATTTTTAATGAATAACTTAACATATTGTTGCAATTGTCCTAAAGCCACGTGAAGAATTGATTGGGTATAGAACTTTTAAATTAATAATAAACAAACTCCAGGTTCCAAGGATCAGGTTAAACTTTATAAGTAATGCTTCGCTCTATGTAGGATTATGACTTCTGTACTTGCTTTTGCTACAACTGTTTTTCTTACATCTTTAACATTATTTTGCTTCTTGTTAAAACTTTATCACAGATCTCTAATATCCAAGACAGCTTTTTTTAAAATACCTAAAGTCATGTCTTCCAGGACCGCAGCAAACAGTTGTAAATTTAACATGGACTAAAAAAACTCCATATTAAGATATGATGCAGATAATCATATTATGATACATGTACAGGTGTACATGTATCAGATACATGTATTTGATTTTGCCAGTATATTAAAGCTGCCATTAATTCAGCAGGCCATTTAAAACATGCAAAGATATGGTTTTGTTGAACATTTCCCATTAAGGCATCCTTACTTTGACCAAGGGCCGGTTTTTTCCTTGCACTCAGCTAATTTGGAAGAATGAGACAGAGCGTATATCAAAAGGCCAATGTTCTTTGACAAAATTCTGCTTTTGTCGCAAGTATTAGCAACTGCTACCTGACCTTATATGTTCTGGATTATACTGTCAAGACCACCTGGAGAAAAAAGCTGCCCCCCAAATATTGACATCTGTATGCTACAAGGAGTTAAGGATGACATAGCTGGGATTTTCCCCATTTTCCTTCATATGCTGTGAGACTGGCTGACGTGATTTACAGTGTACAACTCATGATGACTGGGCGATCATCAACTTGTTCAGACACCATGCTGTCAGAGCACTCACCACAGTCATCACTCAAATGGTATTAGCATCCACAGCGACTGAAGCACTGGTTTAGATGTCTGTAGAGAAGGAAGCCTCATGGACACACAACTGTCAACGATGTTATCCCTGGCAGGGCAGCATCATATGACTGGTGCTTAGTCAGAATAATTATGTGGTGGTGAACAGTCCAAACAGAATAGCACCTGGATGGTGATCATTTCAATTTATATCTCTACAAAAACTTTCCATTATATAATACTTTTGATACATATACACATATAGTATATCAAAAGTATTATCCCCCTCCCTCCCTCCCTCCCTCCCTCCCTTGCACTTTTTTGTTTTCCAATGATCTCCAGTGACCAAATTTCTGGTTAGCAATATTTATCACATTTTACAAAGCATAGCTGTTTTTTTCCACCACTCAAAAGACAACATCTTATAACAGGCAACAATTATTTCTAATATTTTACATTCATGTAGAAAATGAGAAGTGACATAAGGCAGCATTTTTCCTTTCATTCTGGCTTAGTTTTAATTTATCTTTCTCTGTTCGTTTGATTTTTAAAGAATAAAAGGATTCAAAAAACAAGCAAGATTCTGGCTACCTTTTTAATGTTCCGTTTGGTCTGTAGACCCCAGCCACGTCGATCAGTTTTTATAATTTCTGCTTCTGGATAGAGTCTTTTGGTGAAGCACTGATTCTGGCAGCGCTCTGCTGCAGGGCAAACTTGTGGATGACACTCGTACTGCAGCATTCGATTTAAACACTCTGACTCCAGGCCACAAGGGTTCTCGTCAGTTGGCTTACAGTTACACCGAGGGATTTCTGACAAGTCTGCAAGTTGAATCTGAACCTTCCCTACCACTTTGTTGGACTGTGGGATACAGAATAAAGGATAGAGGCAGAATGTTAGTTCACAGATGTATAGATATCACCACTCCACCATTTGATAATGGAAACCTGAACTCTTCCCTGAGCAGCATCGTGACTTATTTATTGTCGGGCCTAGCCCAAGGAACTCCAAGAGACCATGCAAATTCAGTCCATCAGCTACAACCTCTAGCAAGAATCTTCCCAGACTAAAACCCCAGTTCCCAAAGTCCTCCAGCTGACTTATTTATTGTCGGGCCTAGCCCAAGGGACTCCAAGAGACCATGCAAATTCAGTCCATCAGCTACAACCTCTAGCAAGAATCTGCCCAGACTAAACCCCCAGTTCCCAAAGTCCTCCAGCCACAACAGTGTGAATTCCTCAGGGGGGTGCCAGTCTCATCCTTTTGTTCCTCCG